AACCGCCGTGCCCAAAAGGCGCTCGCCTGCCTGTCTGTGCAGAGCCTTTCCTCGAGAGGCTCGACACCAAAGTCCCCGGTCTGTAAGCCAAGTTCTGGGGCGGGAAGAGTCGTTTATAACTTTTTTCCGATGGGAGAGATGGGAGTATGTCAGCCAAGAAGATAGCTGGTGGTAGGTAGTTCTTAGTTGCTCTCCAGCTTTGAGAGAACATCACCATCTCGTTGAAGAGTGCAGCAGCATTTGTATTAATGAAAGATTGTGATTAATTGTATGAAATCTACACAATCGCTGTTTTTTCCCTAACGTACTTCCAGATTGTCCCAAAAATCACCCCAACTACCATCCAAGGTTTGAGCTGAGGTTTTTTCAGAGTAGCCAAAGACTGTGGGTATTTAAATCCAAAGAAGTGAAACAGCCGTTTGATTCTCTTAACAGTTCTTTATCAAAGTCTGGCATTTTCGAAGAACTTTAAATGCAGGCTATTATGTCTCTTTTTTCTGTGAAAAACTGACATTAACATGTTCTTTTTCTGTCTTGGATTTCGTAGCAAAGATGCTGAGCTTTTTCCGTCGAACCCTTGGACGGCGGTCTATGCGTAAGCATGCGGAGAAAGAACGGCTAAGAGAGGCCCAAAGAGCTGCAACCCACATCCCTGCAGCTGGGGATGCAAAATCCATCATTACTTGCCGAGTGGCGCTGCTGGATGGAACAGATGTCAGCGTGGACTTACCGGTACGAGTGATGCAAGTTTGCTTTTTCAATAGTGTTGGCTTGTGTCAATCCGATTGTGCTTCTTGCTCTTCACAAGTTGGGTTAAGGCGTATCTATTTGTCATAGCGACTGATCCTGTGACTTGACGTCCGCTAAGTTACTGGTCATAAAAAGGTACTGAAAGAATAATTAATTTTGTTATTCACTGAAACTAGAGTGTTTTGTTAGAAGTTGTGCCTTATACCTTGTACATTGAATGCTTTCTAGCGTGTTTATCTAATTGTTTTGCTAAGGCTTAACTTAGGGTAACGTTTCGGATGAATTGGATTTGCTTTTCAGTGAGCTATGTGTGCATCTTGAGAAGGAAGGTAAATCTCTTGGTGTAACTCTGTTGAAGAGGAGGGATAAGCGGAAGTGCTAGGAGTAATTCCTGCGTGGGTTTTGTTTGTTTTGATTTTGTGTCAGAGACGGATGCAGTTTTTAACGCTAACTTGAGAGGGGAGGGAAAGAGAAGGTTTCTACTTCCTTCCCCTCCTCAGGGCAGATTATATAGCAGGGATTGTCTCATAGCATAGTGCTTTACTGGGAGTGAGGTGTTAGCCACTGTTTTACATTTCTAAAGCTCCCTTAATATACACGTGTCTGTTCTGCTCTGCTTAATTATATACCTGTTTTTAGCCAACAGGATGAACAGTAGCAATAGAAGTGATGTGCTCTTGTTTTTCCATTACCGTGTGTTATAGTTGTTAGTGACGTGTTTTGAGCTCACATAGCTGAGTTAGGAAGCTGTGGGTCTGTGAGACCTTCTGATTAGTTCCATAGGGTTTTGGCTGCAGTAACAGTTGCGCTGACATTGGAACTGCTGGCTAGAAAGAGCGTGCGGAGCAGCCATTCTTGAAATGGCTTTTCTTTCCTCCCTTTCTTATTTTAAGCACAGTTCTAGAGTGTTTATAATGTTAGGTAGCCTGAGGAAGGCTCAACTTGTCAGAGTATTGCGTGGTATGTTGACATAGTGAGTGGAAATAACTCCTGTAATATCCAGAACCCTAAGTAATCTAGAGTTGAAGAAGCAGTTTGGCATCTTTATTTGCGAAATGACTACATAGATAGGCGTTTATAGAGGGCAGTAAAACTAATTTGTGCATCTCTGAAACAATGTAATGAACATATCCAGTGCTGCTTAGTGCCTAGGATGTTTGATTTGAGGCCAGGAATGCCCACAAACACTTTATAGCAAGAGTTACACTTAAAAAGTACTCAAGTTTAAATTGGTGTCTCCACATAACCAGAGCAGTAATCTTTGGAGCTGGAGTTGGCTCTGTAGGCAAATTCCTGGCGCCTCTAACAACATTTCTAAGGCTTTGAGGAGCATAAATTGAACCTGAAGAGGTGTCATGACCTGCCATCTGGACTGTAAAACTTAGATCAGGGTGCAGTAGTAACTATTTATTTCTACAGGAAATTTTTTTCACTCTTGCCTTTTTTCTTTATAAGCCAATATAAAGCCTTGTCTGTGGACATCTAAGTTATGAGTAACAGTAAACAAATATGCTAAATCAGCATAGCTAGATGCAGTAATTACAGTGCATCGTCAGTGGCTGACAGTGCTTTTGGTGATTAAAATACAATAAATTAAAAGTAGATTAAATGTTTCATTTCAGACTCCTTAATGTGTTTGTTCTTGTGTCTCCACTTGCATCATTCGTATTTTAGGGTTGACTCTTAAAGAAGTCTCCCTGTGGGGGAGACAGGGGATGAAGTGGAGGGTACAAAATCCTGGCAAAACAACATTGCTTTCTAAGATCTAAAGCTAAATTAAGAATACATGTGTGTATATATACAGAGATTTTTTGTCTTTTACAAAAAAATTCCTTGAGAATCTTTGTCCTCTTTGAGCTAACACCTTTTCCAAGACTGGTTCTGTTACTTTGTTGGCAGTAGATTTGGTTTAAAATGAACTCCTGTTATCTCAAAGAGGTGCCCTCGGGTCTGCCAGTTCAGTTGTGCATAGTCCCATTGTCTACCTAAGTTCTGTGAAATTGTTTTATTAAAAAAAAATAAATAACAGAAAGTGTTTCTTAAGACTGAATCACTTAGCAAACAGGTTAGTTCACGGCCCGAGAAAGAGTTGTCTTGGCAGGAATGAATGCCATACCTTTTTTAATCCATGGCTACGTAAATACTGTAAAGTATTTTTGTAGGAAGAAAAGATCTTGCTTTCATTATTGCATTTGTCCTTGTTTTCACATACCCCTTGGCAGAAGAAACATTTTTTGGCAGCCAGGCAGTAAGCTAGGTCAAGAAAATGCTGTAGCTGAAAATAATTGGTATAATTTTGTCATGTTAGTTCCCAGCTGGAGCGATTCTCCAATCTGGTTCCCCATGTGCCTCCCCAAATGTGGTGAAGAAGCATTTAGAGGCAGTATCAGGCTTATGCTTGTTGAGCTATACCCTTACAGTGAATTTGCTACTGAAAGAAGAGTATTCTGGAGTTACAGTTGTTCATGTACTTGAATCTGAGATTGCTGAATTTCCATTTAAATTAAAAAAAGAAAAGGGGGGGGGGGAACCACCACAGGGAACAGTACTATGTAAGCCAAACAAGTTTCACAGTCTTTTTAAGCAGCAAAGGTGGATATTTTTATGAATATTGACAATGAGACAGAAGGGACGTGTTGTAAATGATACAGTTGAGATTAATTTATTAAACACAGAGCCAGGATTTGAGCAGTAACTCTGCTTTTTGTCCACTGATGTTATCTATGGTGTCTGTCAAGCCACTTAATCTATCTGCTTTTCTATTTCTTCTGTTGTTTTTAATTACAAAAGTGCCTGACTTGAACCGTTCATCAAAGCTACGGTCCTACGCAGTACATAGACTGGATTGTTTTTAAGAATCTACTTATTTTGTAGCTATGTCAATGACTGAAGAATATCAGTGTTACGTATACTATTTACGGTCACTTTGGTGTGTTCAAAATGGGAGGCATGAACTTCATGCGATTTATCAGTGTTCTTTTGGGGCAGATGAAAGGTTCCTCAGTCTTCATCTCCGATTCTAAAGTTGTGTTCTGACCTGGTAGTTTTCCTTGTCTATTACCACTTTTTTTGAAGTTTTATGTTTGTCCAAATGCATTCAGTGATTTTGACAGACTTATCATGTGCTTAGTGAAACACTGAGAAGCTGGTTACTGGTTTTTTATCTATGAAAAGTTTTTATAGAATATATCATGTCTGTTAACTGTGCTGCTGTTGATGTTCGTCATACACACTATTTTACTGTTTACTTACCTCGAGTTCAACTTCAGGCAAAAGTTGGGTTGCTTTTTCTTCTAATTGTTTAAGATCCATGGGTAGAGTGTTTGCTTAGTGGTATGAGCGGTGAGAGGACAAGAACTCTGATTTGCTGACATCCCCTATCTTACTTTTAATCCTGTTCCCATGCGAAACTAAACTCCATCTTCCCCCCCCGTACCTCTGGAATTCCCAAAAGCTCAAAAGCCATGAACAGACCCAGTTTAGTACCTGAAGACTCCAGCAGCTCAGTCATACCAATCTGGGCTCCCAAGGGAACCCCTCAACAGCTGGAATACTGGCTCTTTTGGTGGTCATGGTTTGTGGGGAAAGACAGGTTGGGGATCAGGAGGGCGTCATAGCAGTGTTTTCCCTGAAAGCTGTTTTTAATTGGAGTCACCAACAGCTTATGAAATACTTGTGAACAAAAATGTTTGTCAAGAATTTCAGATAAAGTGCTGGTTTGATTACTGGAGGGCTCCAGAGGATTTTTAAATCAAGAGCTAAAAATTGAGCATTTGTTCTAGAGATAGTCAATTCTGTGCTATTCAGAGTAATAATTGGGAGAAGGAAAAGATAACCTAGATAAAGGGGAAAAATGGTAAGACAAATAATGTAAATTATATTACAGGGATACACTTGGAATATGCACCTTTTCTTAAAATTTGTGGATAGCTTTCTGTGGGAGAACAAGGTCAGCCTTACAATAGCAACAGACAGTAAGTATGGGGTCTTATAGAAGCAGCACTGTACTTTGTGGAAGCCAGGGTTGTTTTGGTAAAAAAACCCTGACCCTGCTTAGCTCACAATTTATATAATCTTCTCATGGATAATAGGGCGTTAATTGTATTCCAGTTTCTGTACGCGCAACCTAAGTTTTAGGCAAAAGCTTCCTAGTGGTATAGGGTGAAAGACGCAAATTACAAGAGTGGATGCTCTCTGAGTAGTTTTTCGTCTTAGAATATTCCTTACTTATGCATGCATGAAATTTAGTATGGAGATTGCAAAATGAGCTGTTTTTATCCTTACTATAATGAAGTATCATTAAAACAAGGTCTTATATAAACCAGTCCAAGAGCTCTTTGGAATAGCAGGAATTAGCTAAGCTGTTTACAGTTTTGGAGTAATGCTTACAAAATAAGATTAAAAAGGACTGTATTTGTAGTGATTATTTTAAACAAAATGAAGAAATCTATCTGGAATGCCAGAAACTGTTAACGAGTGCTGATGGCTTTTTGTGTGGAGGGAGATGATCTGTGTTGATCCGACTACAAGATCAGAGATGTATTGTTATAGTTGTTTTTACTCAGTAATCCACTCTGGTTTTTTGTTTTTTACAAGCTTGTAGAATATTTGTGGCTACTTGCTGAATATTTGTAGCTGTAAATATGAAATACAGAATGCTGTCTGTGGCACAGGTGCTGATTAAAAAGAAAATGTAGTAATGCTAAAAATGTTGGAAAATCAGTCTTCAAATAAAATGAATAATCTTAGTGTTCAAGGCTGGCTTTTAAATTTTCAAAAATAAAACTAAGTAGACAAAAGTAATGAGTAAATAAAGATTTGCTTGTGTGTGTTTGTGTTAAGAGTATAAAGTTTTGGATTAAAACTTTTTCCCCATGTGGTTTTTGTCTTAAACTATTGAAATGCTTTTGACTATTTGCTTAAACTACTGAAAGACCTTTAGGGGACTGAAACTGGAAAAATCAATCCTGGGCTGAGTGTTA